TCCCCGCTTTTCAGCTGCGTTTTGGGTACAACCAGCAGATTGCAGTTGGTCGACATAAGTGATCTAGCAGGAGTATATTTAGTGATCATATTACAAAGGTATGTAGGAGCACCACCATGAAGACATGAATAACAGGATTTTAAAATCAATTCTGTAAGACACAGGTAGCCGGTGAAGTGATTTAAGTGCTGGAGTGATATGATTGTTCAGACTATTACATGTCAGCATTCTTGCAGCTGCATTCTGAGCTCTTTGTTAGTGTTTAATGGAGCTCTTTGGTAAGCCCACCAAAACACTGGTGCAGTAGTCGAGTCTTGATGTAATGTATGAGTCAGATGCATGTATGAGTTTCTCACTATCTGTGTGAGTGATAATGTCACATACTTTAGAGATCTTACAAAGGTGATACTATGCTGTTTAGATCCCTAAATTCTTAATGTAGTCATTTGCCATTCTCTGTGCATCATTTCCAATAAAAAGCACCTCTGCATTATCTTTATTTAGCTGCATAAAGTTCTGTGACGTCCTCAAGTTTATGCTTTCTAGGCAGTTTACAAGGCTGCTAATCGACTTGTAGGTGTGTTCGTATCCGACATAATGCCGGTTTAACACAATTGTCTCCTTTTGGCTCCAAGCCCAGACTATGCTCCACCGTGTGAAGCTGGAGATTACAAAACTTTCCCACATGATTCTTCAGAAGGAGCCAGGTATTTTTTATTTTTTTTAAGTGGAAACAATTGTGTGACAATACACTTAGTCATAGTAATGACATCACAGCTTTATATAATTTACCTGTGTTAATATAAACAAATAAACTGATTTCTGGAAGGAGATGTCTACTATTATTTAACTTTTAGGGAAGGAGTCTCCAGTGTAAGAGCTAAAGCTGTAACTTTGTGTTTTCCAACATTTTTATGAGAGAAGAGCTTAGGCTTTGTTTTTTTTGTTACATGAAAAGTTGCATTTTTTTAGAGAGAGAGAGAGAGAGAGAGAGAGAAAGACAGGGTGTTGAGAGAACAACGTTTTATAGCTGCTATTATGTAAGTAAGGACAGGAACTCACCTAATGTTCCAAAACATTAAATGTAACTATAAATGGATAAAAAGTAAAAATTATGTTCTTTAAAAAAACAAAACATTTTCTAATTATTGGCAGACTGCTGTGGTGTAAAAGGTATGAAACACTTTGGGACATGTAGTTATAGGAAAAGAATAATGCTGTGTGAATGTGTGTGTCATTGTGCCCTGCGGTGGATTGGCTCCCTGTCCAGGGTGTCCTCCACCTTGTGCCCCATGCTACAGCATCCCTACGACCCAGCAAGGACAAGCGGCACAGAAAATGGATGAACTGATGAATGTTAATTTCAAGTAACTCTTCTTCATCACACCACTCTGTCATTGATTATTTTCTTACAACATTATGGACCTCTGAAATTATGCTTTTTTTTGTAATTAATCATAACATAAAAAATAAATTATCATGTAGCATGCATGCACATGTTCTTTTTCCCTATTTTGCCTCTCTGATTCACACACACACACACACACACACTCACACACACACACACACACAATTTCCCCCTATTCTGTGGTAAAGTCCACCAGAGCCAGGAAAGCACCTCCATGAACAAACACACATGGGACACTGGTGTAAAGATCAAAAAAGTTAATCAAAAAAAAAAAAAAAAAAAAAAACAAAAAAACACCGAATAAGGAGAAAAATAAAACCCCCCCCCCCCCCCCCCCCCCCCAAAAAAAAAAAAAAAAAAAAAAAAAAAAAACCTCGGATGGCATTTATGGTTAAACCAGGAACCGCAAGATCTGCGTCTTGAATTAGAAACTGTTTTTGAACACTTCTGAGGAAGTGAGAGAGACATCACTACACCACTATTAACAATGCCACACTCCCTGTTCCACTAATACCCTTTGACCCTGCGGCCCATATAAACCCATTGAATTGGTGAGCTACAATACAGGCAAGCTACAATATATTCATTCGTTTATTCATTCATCTTAAGTAAGGCAGAGAAAACTCTTTATGAGATGTGAATATAGCCTGTCTAGGACAGTATGCATACATGGGGGTGACTTAGCATATAGTAGCTAGTGCACCTACTGGAATGTTTTTTGGGAGCTAGGCGGAATCCAGTGATCCTGGGGAAACCCCATATGTACACAGAGAGAACATATGAAACTCCGCACAGGAAGTAAGCAGAACTCAGAATCGAACCATGGACCCTGAAGCTGTGAAATTAAGCTGTTGTACTAGCATTATCATATATGATAGAATACAGATCCATCATTAATGATTAACTTCACAAGAAGAAATCAGTACCACAATATTAACATTCTAGTAACTATTATTAACTAACTAGAAATTCTGATTAACGAATTAGTAAGTACTAGTGCACAGATGAATGCGGTAGTTCACTATTACCTAATCAATAACCACTATCTCTTTCATGCCTCCCGGAGAACTACTGGGAAACTATATACCCTTTCATAATTAGTGTGAAACCGCTACTGTTAATGAATAGACAATATTGTTTACATAATCAATAGGTAATAGCAGACTTATGATTTAGGTAAGCTGGTTGTGAGGGCCCAAAGCAGTCAAGGCACAAGGAAAACAGTCCCCTCCCCCAAAAAAAAAGAGTTTAATGAATCAAAATATATATTTATAAATAAATCAAATAAAAAAATCAAATAATCAAAATCAATATTTAGGCCTATAAAAGACATCAACTTTTAACACGTGCCAGAACTAAACTACACCTGACTAACTGAGGACTGAACAGAACCAGACAGATAAGTCAACAGAGGCGGCAATATTAGTCCATTTAGACACACAGGGGCGGAAACAAAACACTACAATCTTCAAAGTACAACATTAAAGACAATGCTAGCTAAATTATTGAAATAAAGATAGAAACAAATAAATCATTATTATGTTCCACTTGTCTTCCATGTGTATTTGCACTTTATGGTAAATGGTCTGCACTTATATAGTGATTTTTTAATATTAGTGGCTCCAAAGCACATTACACTGGTTCTCATACACCCATCACACCAATCACACACACTCACACAAATTCACACACCAATTGTGGCAGAGCTACCATGCAAGGCACTAGCTTGCCATCAGGAGAAACTTGGGGTTCAGTTACTTGCCCAAGGACACTTTGGCACTATAGTTCTTAAGAAACCACCTTTCATAAACAAGCTATGTATACAAGTATATACATGTATAAAGTATACAACTATATAGAGGAATAACAATAATGAGCCTCTTCACTTAATATTAGATAATTGATGTAACTCACTAATTGACTGTAGCTAATTAACTGTAATCCAAAAGTCAGGTCAAGCTAGTTATGATGGTGGTACCTCCTCATTTCACATTTGTATTATCATTAGGATCATGAACTCCATTAATGTTAGCTACCAGACACTTTCTCATTTAATTTGAAACAGACACCATTTTCTCATCATCTTTCACAGCTCACATTTCTGTTATCAGGCATACTCTGTGTTTTTCATGTGATTTTAAATGGCTGAGTCACACTGGCTGTAGGAGTTACTTAAACCACTCGACTAACACATGCAGCGATTGTTGCTGTGAGGATGTTGAGTCAGCAGGGTGGTGTGGGAAAAAAAACAATAGTGAGACAGACTGGAAAGAAAGCAAGTCTTCTCAGTAGTTCTTTATTTTAGGAATATTTCAGACTAGGTGAAACCCATTCCACAATATTCAATTCAATTTATTTAAATTTTATTTGTATTGTACTTTTAACAATGGAAATTGTCTCAAAGCAGCTTTACAGAATCATATAAACACAGGATACAGATTTTAAGAGTGTGAATTTATCCATATTGAGCAATCCGGTGGCGAGGAAAAACTCCCTAAGCAGATATGAGGGAGAAACCTTGAGAGGAAGCAGACTCAGAAGGGAACCCATCCTCATCTGGGTAACAAAAATTAGTATGAAAATAAAGGAAAGGTCATTATGGTTTTTATATGAAGTCCATTTTGTTGAACTAATCCACTGTTCACTAAAGGAGACTTGAGTGCACAATTGTATGTGGTAATTGCAGTCCTAAGGCCATAGAAGCAGCCATAGTCCCAGCAACCACAGCGAGAATGTCCATGTGGAATTGAGGTCCAAAACCATTTCTGTGGTACTTCAAGTAGTACCATCCTCAGCAATCTCCAGGCTGTAGCCTCCAGTTGATGAGAGCACCATCCAGAGGTAGGGCATCAGGATGAATCAGGCAAGTCCGGAGTACAGAAAGGGGCAGGATCACTGCATCTCCATAAAATCATGTGTGGCTCGACAGAAGGAGAGAGGGAGAGGGAGGTAAAGAGAGGGAAAGATTATTAGGTATACTTACTATCCCGTAATGGATAAGACTGTGTTCTTTGCATAAAAGAAAGTATATTCATAGTACGCTTGAGTAAACAAATATGTTTTCAAACTAGACTTAAACACTGAGACTGTGTCTGAGTCCTGAACACTAACTGGAAGGCTGTTCCATAACTGCGGGGCTTTGTAAGAGAAAGCTCTTCCCCCTGCTGTAGCCTTCACTATTCGTGGTACCAACAAATAGCCTGCACCTTTTGATCTAAGTAGGCGTGGTGGATCATAAAAAAATAAAAGTTCACTCAGGTTCTATGGTGCGAGAACATTTAGTGCTTTATAGGTCAGTAGTAGTATTTAATAATCAATACGGAATTTTACTGGGAGCCAATGCAGTGTGGATAAGATCGGGGTGATGTGGTCATACTTTCTGGTTATAGTAAGGACACTTGCAGCTGCATTCTGGACTAACTGGAGTTTGTTTATGCGACTACTGGAACATCGAGTCAGTAAAGCATTACTATAATCCAGCCTAGAGCTGACGAAAACATGAACTAATATTTCTGCATGTAAATGGTAAATGTGCACTTACATCGGGAGCAACTTGGGGTTCAGTGTCTTGCCCAAGGACACTTTGGCATGTTGGCGTCACCGGGAATCGAACCACGCACCCTATGATTAGTGGACAACCCGCGCTACCAACTGCGCCACAACCGCCCCATGTATATAGTGACATTACAAGGATGGTAATAACATCTTCCATTGCCATTTAATGTTTTTTATTTCATGTCATCAGCACCTCAACTAGTTTCCTATCAAAAATGTTATCAAAGAAAAAAGGGATATGGAGGTACATTTAGAACCTTTATTATTTTACAAGTGTATGGAAATTCAAATGAACCTGTTTGTTTAATGTATCAAACTATATTGTGTTCTCCAGTTGGAGTTGACATTTCAATGATTCGATGCCTCTCCCCCATAGTTATATAATCTGAGAGAGAGAGAGAATGAGAGAGAGAGTACAGACTAGAGTTACATTTAGCAGCAGGAAATAACAACAAGCTTAATGCTTTATTACTGCTTTAAATCTGTCTATGAATGCCAACAAATTCATTTCTTTCATTTTAGTTATTAAAATGTGCACGCAATGGGAAAAAAAAATCAGCAGGGTTTATGATATTTACTACATTAAGAAGTACATTTCACATTTTACATGAAATTCAAGACTGGTATAACCAAATGTTTAGGAGCGGGTGATATGACTACAATCTTATTTCATGACAACGATACGATTTCTCAGGTACTGTAGGTCTATCAAGTAAGAAATACTATGGAAGTTGCATAAAGCAATTAAATGTAAAATAAATGTTATAAATAAATATAATAAATATGACATATACAGTGATTCTTATTAAATTTACTGAAGTTACTCAGTCAGTTTACTCTTTTTTCTTTCACTTTGTCTTTTGTTGTTTGATTAACATTAATGACACAGACAGCAACAGATTTACTAGACATTAAGGCCTAAGATCCAAAAAACTTTAATATCCAATATAGTGTATTGACACACCTCTGATTATTTCCCATTTACATTCAATTAAGACATAACCGACTGTGTTTACATGAATACTCAGTCAGAATTGCATTTTGACATGATATGTGTGTGTATTTATTTGACCGTCCAAGCCTAATAAGCCGCTAATGAGAACTCATTTCAGTACTCGCATGATGAGGGGGATTTATGTTTCATGTCAGTGAGCACAGAAAGCCCCTGGTCAGGCAGGGAGATATTAATTAATTTCTTGTTACCAGGGGGATTTTAGAGTCTAATTCTGGAGTAAAAATTCTCAGGGGGCCCCTCCAACCAGTGTTCCTCACTATTATGTTATAAATAATCTGACACCAAACAATGATATACATAATCAAAACTTTTGTATTTATTTCAAATGTTCACATTAGTACAGTTTTCAAACTATAAATTCAAAGAACAATAAAACAATAGAACAAAATATAAATATGTAGAATGATAAAACATTGCAAAACACTTAAAATAAAAATGATATAAACATAGTACACATTATACAGTGGTGTGAAAAAGTGTTTGCCCCCTTCCTCATTTCCTGTTCCTTTGCATGTTTGTCACACTTAAGTGTTTCGGAACATCAAACCAATTTAAACAATAGTCAAGGACAACACAAGTAAACACAAAATGCAATTTGTAAATGAAGGTGTTTATTATTAAAGGTGAAAAAAAAACCAAACCATCATGGTCCTGTGTGAAAAAGTGATTGCCCCCCTTGTTAAAACATACTATAACTGTGGTTGTCCACACCTGAGTTCAATTTCTCTAGCCACACCCAGGCCTGATTATTGCCACACCTGTTCACAATCAAGGCATCACTTAAATAGGAGCTGCTTGACACAGTAAGGTCCACCAGAAGATCCTTAAAAGCTACACATCATGCCGAGACCCAAAGAAATTCAGGAACAATTGAGAAAGAAAGTAATTGAGATCTATCAGTCTGGAAAGGGTTATAAAGCCATTTCCAAAGCTTTGGGAATCCAGCGAACCACAGTGAGAGCCATTATCCACAAATGGCGAAGACATGGAACAGTGGTGAACCTTCCCAGGAGTGGCCGGCCGCCCAAAATTACCCCAAGAGCGCAGCGACGACTCATCCAAGAGGTCACAAAAGACCCCACAACAACGTCCAAAGAACTGCAGGCCTCACTTGCCTCAGTTAAGGTCAGCGTTCATGCCTCCACCATCAGGAAAAGACTGGGCAAAAATGGCCTGCATGGCAGAGTTCCAAGGAGAAAACCACTGCTGAGCAAAAAGAACATCAAAGCTCGTCTCAATTTCTCCACAACACATCTTGATTATCCCCAAGACTTTTGGGACAACATTCTGTGGACCGATGAGACAAAAGTGGAACTCTTTGGAAGGTGTGTGTCCAAGTATATCTGGCGTAGAAGGAACACTGCATTTCATAAAAAGAACATTATACCAACAGTAAAATATGGTGGTGGTAGTGTGATGGTCTGGGGCTGTTTTGCTGCTTCAGGACCTGGAAGACTTGCCGTGATAAAAGGAACTATGAATTCTGCTGTCTACCAAGAGATCCTGAAGGAGAATGTCCGACCATCTGTTCGTGTACTCAAGCTGAAACGAACTTGGGTTCTGCAGCAGGACAATGATCCTAAACACACCAGCAAGTCCACCACTGAATGGCTGAAGAAAAACAAAATGAAGACTTTGGAGTGGCCTAGCCAAAGTCCTGACCTGAATCCTATTGAGATGTTGTGGTATGACCTTAAAAAGGCCGTTCATGCTCGAAAACCCTCCAATATAACTGAATTAGGACAATTCTGCAAAGATGAGTGGGCCAAAATTCCTCCAGGACGCTGTAAAAGCCTCATTGCACGTTATCGCAAATGCTTGGTTGCAGTTGTTGCTGCTAAGGGTGGCCCAACCAGTTATTAGGTTTAGGGGGCAATCACTTTTTCACACAGGGCCATGATGGTTTGGATTTTTTTTCACCTTTAATAATAAACACCTTCATTTACAAATTGCATTTTGTGTTTACTTGTGTTGTCCTTGACTATTGTTTAAATTGGTTTGATGTTCCGAAACACTTAAGTGTGACAAACATGCAAAGGAACAGGAAATGAGGAAGGGGGCAAACACTTTTTCACACCACTGTATATCTAAAACTTTTAAGTTCTTAGGGAACTAAACCCACATTATATGGCCAGTGCTCATCAACACCCTTTCAGCATTGATTCTTTCAAATGCTGCTTACGGCCCTTGGCTAGTGCAAATGCTGCCACTATGTCCTCCATATCTAAATAACAGCATTTGGTTATTTACTGTTATACTTAAACAAACAATCGTCATTATGATCCACTTACAACTGTTTTGCTTTCTTTTTACCTCATGCTCTTTTTTCTCTTTCTTTTTTTACTTCCTGATGGAAATGTCCTCTTCGTTTTCCTTTATTAATGTTGTTTTCTGAATATATTTCCAGTGAAAAGTCGATGGGAATGACATGGGGCCCCTTTTAGGAGGATTCCAACTGTCATGTCATTGCAAGTTGTCCACTGTCACTGGGGTTGCCACAATCTGAGACACTGCTGTGGAGTAAAGTTTGTCAGCCCACTGGGCCTCCTGACAGCCTGGGGCCCCAAGCAGTCACCTACCTTGCCTGTTTACAAGCTGCACCCCTGCTCGTTATCTTAATTTTATGTGTTATTTATTTTCTATCTTTCTTTCATGTTACAAGTCAAAATTCATTCATAATTGGACTCGAGTCTGAGTCCGTGATTGAGTACCCCAACTCTAGTTGTTGGTGCCAGAAGGGTTGATTTGAGTATTTCAGCTAAAACATAATCAGGTTACATTGAGCACAAGCTCGCCCAAACTGGACAGTTGAAGAAAAAACATAAATCACCTGGACTTTTTCCAGTCTTAACTGTCCAGTTTGGGTGATTCTGTACCGATGATAGCCTCAAATTGCTGTTCTTGGCTGACAGGACTGGAACCTCATGTGTTCTTAAAAAGTGCTTATTTGAGATACTATAGACTTACGGTCAGCTCAAATCAGGTTCAAGGTTCTTTATTTGTCATATACATATAAAAGACTGTAGAAAAAAATAATAAACTGTAGAATAAAAATATCATGGACTGTAGTGAATATGTGTAGTGTGCAGTGAATAAATTCAATAGAATAGAATAGGATGTGTGGAAGCAGATACACAGAGTTGTAAAGTGTATATCGAGACTATACAATGTAAATGGTAAATGGTCTGCACTTTATATTGCTTTTTTAACTTTAGCAGGTCTACAAAACACTTTACACTGCCTAGTTTACCTGTTCACACACACACACACACACACACCAGTGGCTGCAGAGCTGCCATGCAAGGAGCTAGCTTGCCATTGGGAGTAACTTGGGGTTCAGTGTCTTGCCTAAGGACACTTCAGCATGTGGAGACACGTGGACCGAATCGAACCGCCAACTCTAAAATTAGTCGACAACCCGCTCTACCACCTGAGCCAAAGCCATACATTGCACATTGAAATACTCAATGTGTAAAATGATTTATTATTTTTCCTTCACTATAGTGCAAACCGTTTTGTGTATGTGTGTTGTGCGTGAGGTAGGAATATGCAGACTCCTTGTTCAGTTCCTTGTTCAGTAGCTGGATTTCCTGAGGGCAGAAACATCTCCTGAGTCTGTCTTTGTTGGTCCTCAGGATCCGGTAGCACTTCCCTGATGGGACCAGTCTTTGTCCAGAGTGGTGAAAGTCATTGATAATTCTCCTGCTCCTGTATCGCTGGGTGTAGATTTCTGTGATGCAGGGGAGAGATGTTTTAATGGCCTTCTCTGCTGCCCTCACCACTCTTGACAATGCCTTTTGGTTCTGGGCTATGGTGCTGCTGAACCAAGCAGAGCAGCTCCCTGTGAAAAGACTCTCCTCAGCCCCAGTGTAGAAAGTCCTTAGCACTTTCTGAGAGACATTGAACCTAGCTACGCGTCAGACGTGGTAGAGGCACTGGGGTGCCCTTGTCACTAAGATGTTCGTATGTGCTGTCCAGGAGAGGTCTTCTGTGAGGTGGACTTCTAGGTATTTGAAGCTGCTCACCCTTTTGACTGTGACCCTATTGAGCATCAGAATGATGATCAATCCAATCCATACCAGTTAGATCATTCTCTT